GATCTGACTAACTGCAGACTAAACCAGACTAATTACCGATTCAATAGTTATAAAAACAATATTGATTTCAAACTTAATTCATGGTGTGAAAAAACTCCACAATAAACCGAACTGTTGCGGACAAATTCCGGATTAGTCCGAAATCGGTCCCACTTTTTATTCAGGGTATTTACTTATGGTAAATAAAATATTTAATTCTACAGTCAATTTGTTTTTACAAATTTACTAGTATTATTAGTTATCTTGTTTAAATATTAAAATTAACACTAATGTGTTATTTTCTTGTCATTTCTTTTCGTGGCACTTCATAAATTCTATTATGAATTTGAACTCCCATGCGAGCGTGGTATAGTGGTTAGTGTATTCGATTTCGGTGCGATATAATGTTAGATAGGTGTAGGTTCGAATCCCCAAGCGTTAGAAAATTTAAGTTAATGTAAATAAAATTGCGATAGGTAAATCAAAAAATATGTTGAATGTAACATAAAGTAATAATAATAATTAATATGTGTAACTTGTATAATTATTTTTTTATTAACATTCACTACTAATTTTTGACTGTTTCAGACTAATTCCGGTTTCACTAGTTAAAATTAACTGATTAATTTCGGACTTTATCGGACCAACTCCGGTTTCACTAGTTGTTCACAAACCGTATGGAGTTCGGATTTTTCCGGATTAATTTCGGGTGACAAAAACCTGACCATAAACCGCATTGTTTCGGACAAATTTCGGATTAGTCCGAAATCTGTCCGGTTTTTTAACCAGGGATATGTCCCCTTTACAAAATTTTATGTAATTCTTATAAAAGTTGACCAATTAATTTACGAAAAATTGCTTTCAATTCCGAATGGATGCGGCTCCAATTAAAAAATAGTAAATTACAAAAAATTGTAATATTTATTTTAAACAATAGTATGAACATTGACTGTTTCTTAAAAATTATTTATTTTAATGTCAGAAGCTATTTAAAAAAGATTCTAAAAGGATCGAAACCGGGGAAAGTATTTTGAATTTTTTTGTCGTATTTTTTTCAAAAATAAAAAAATTTCTACTTAATTAATAATTTCTCGCCTCGAAAGCAAATTTTTTCTTCTGATAATAATTTATTTTAATATCAAAAGCCATTTAAAAACGAGGAATTATTAATTACGTTGAAATTTTTAGCTTTTTGGAAAATCCGTCACAAAAAAATCAAAATCACTCCTTTTCTTGACTTGAACCTCTTGGGAATTTTTTAAGGGCTTTAGAGATTAAAATAAATAATTATTAACCCTCCGTCACACACCAAGGGAGGGATTCCCTCTACGGTTTCAGTATTTCTTAAATAACTTTTGTTTTCCTCATTGCAAAATAAAATCAGTTTCTATATACCTTTCGACAATTTACTCCTCAACACATTTCTAAAAAAACATTTAGTTTAAACATAATTAATATTTAATTATGAAGCTTCAAAACAAGAAAAAACTCGAAAAAGTGAGGTTATGTTAAATAAAAAAATAATGTTTTCAAAACATTTTTTGTTCCACTGTTGGTTAATGGGAAAATTAGATTATAAATATAATTAAAATGAATTGTTTAATGATTATTTTTGCTTATTTGTTAATGTTACATTATTTTTACATGTCAAGTGGAATTCCTTCGAAGATGATGTCGAAACTTCAGTGTAATACAGTCCTATCTTCTGGTAATATTTTGTACAGTCCTATCTTCAGGTGATACTTTGTATCGTGCTGTCAAAAAGTAGGGTTAATGTATTAGCTGTTTTCTAAATGCATTTAAGTGGTTAAATTTTATTAATTTACACTAAATTTTTATATATTATGATAAAAAGTATCTCTTAAAATATAAAAAAATTATTGTTTTGAATGTAATCAATATTTTAAGTACCGTAATTTATTTTATTTATTCACACCACAATCTGTCAAATTAGAGATAGCACGATACAAAACATCACCTCGAGATGGGACAGTTTAAAGTATTACCAGAAGATAGGATTGTATCACACTGAGGTATCGATGTGCATTCGTGTAATTAATTTTTATTTTTGAGACCGAAAATTAATTTTATTAATTTTATAATTTAGAATAATTTACTACATATTTGTAAGTTTGTGTTAAAACTAAATTTTTGTTGATTCCTTTGTTTATGTTGTAATATTGCTTATTTTACAATGTGGTGAGGAATTCCCTCTAAACGTGTGTAAAGTCGTAATTTTTTCTCATGTGTGTGACGGAGGGTTAAAAAGAAAAAAAGAATAATTAATAATAAAAAAAAAATTATTAAAAGAAAAAAATTACTTACAAGTCGAGTAATTAACAATTTACTTGAAATTCTGCGTTTTGGGAATATTCGTGACAAAAAATTCAAAATTACTCCCTTCCCCATCTTGGATCCTCTTGGAATATATTTTAAATAGCGTCTAATGTTATATTAATGCAAGCCATTATAAAAAAAAATCAAAATGCTTCTGAGTCGAGAAATCATTAATTAAGTTGAAATTTCTGGAAAATCCGTGACACAAAAAATTTAAAACAGATATTATTTTAATAATTTAATTTTCGGGTTTACATAAACAATCAAGTTCATACATTGATGACAAAAAATCATTGTCGGTTACAAAACTGACATGGGCCACGGACAGCTTGCATGCATGGCCCACAATTAATTATTATCAAGCAATGCTAGGGAAATTTCTACTCAGGAGGAGTTTAAAACCTTTTTGAATATTGATCTGAAACATCCGTTTTTATTTAGGGGTTGGAAGAATAATTATGTATTATTTTTTAAAAATTAAGTATTTTCACCATTTTGTTCAACTAAATCAACGAATAAAAAATTGCTTTCTTTAAGTAGGAGGAGTTTGAATCTTATTTTAATTGGTCTGAAGCAACATTTTTTCTAAAGAGGTTGGGACTATATGTTTTATTTTTTAAAAATTAAATATTTCCTCCTAGATAAAAAAAACAATTTTTTTATTCGTTGTGTGCATTGGAAAAAGTAGTGAGAATATTCAATTTTTAAAAATGACAAATTTAGTTTCAACTCCTAAAAAGAAAATAATGATTCTTGTCCAATAAAAATAATATTTGATCTCCTTTTATTTTCAAATCACACGATACCTCGCTTTTTATAGTCGAAGAAAAGGATCTCGAAAATATTAATTTTAAATGAATTATTGCAATTTTTGTTTGGCGATACCATGTGTAATGCAGTTTTATGAGTTTTTGTGTTAAAGCATTTAACATGTTATCTTTATAGGTTCTTTAGTTTTTCAATAAATACAATACACATTTATCTCCAAACAAAAATTTATGTAAAATGAATATTTTCGAGGTGTCCTCTTTTTCCACTAAAATTCGAGGTGTTGTCCTATTTTCCTACTAACCATAACTCAGCGAATTTAAGTTTTAACCCCTAAAAACAAAATAATGACTTTTGTGAAATAAAAATATAATTTAAACTTCTTCTCTATTTACAAAACGCAATTTTTTATTCGATGCGTTCATTGGAAACAATGGTAAGAATACAATGGAACCTCGATTATCCGAACCGAAAACCATTGTATCCCAACTTTTTTTGGCCTTCCGAATCTTTCAAAACCAAATAACGAAATTTATGCCAACAAATTTTTTTAATACCCTGAATTTTCTGTTTTATTAATATATTATTATGAATCAATGTATGTATTTACATAAAAAATTTATTAAATTAAATATATATAGTTCAACTGTACAATTTTTTTACTTAATAAATTATAGCAAAATTAACATTTCTATTATCTGAACTTTCGATTATCCGAACCCAGCCTTGCCTAGGTTAGTTCGAATAATCGAGGTTTCACTGTATTCAATATTTAAAAATGATAAATTTAGTTTCAACTCTTAAAGAAAATAAAGATCTTTGCCTATACAAAAATGAGATTTAATCTCCTCCTATTTTCAAATCACAATTTTTTATGCGCTGTGTCAATATTGAAAAAATTGATGAAAATATTTAATTTTGAAAAAGGATCATTTTAGATTAAACCTCTAAAAATAAAATAAAGACTCTTGACACATAAAAGTATGATTTAAACTCCTTCTATTTACAAAAGGCAACTTTTTTATTCCTTTCATCTATTAAAAAACTTGTCAGAATATTTAATGTTTAAGAAACATAACGTTGTGTGTTAACCTCTAAAGAGAAAAAGGAGACTTTTGGCTAATAAAAATAAGTTTTACACTCCTCCTTTTTACTAAACGCATTTATTTTATTTGTTGCGTGCACTGAAAAAAGGTGAGAATATTTAATTTTTTAAAAAAGTAACTTTGATATAAAAATATTATTTCTCTGTCATAATTGAAAACAGCACATACTATAGCATATTGCGACAAACGCCGCACGAGAAAATCTGTAGTTATAGGGACTTTTGATTGTTTCTAGTTTCCTTCTACTGCTGAAATAGAAAGAGTTGTTGGTAAAGTAGATATTATTTTAATATCACTTTACTATTGGCATTTAACATAATTACAAGTTTTATTGTCTAATTAGTCTTATTAATAGACAATTACGAAAATATAGTCGCTTTATCGTCTTTATTTGTAAACAATTAATTCTAGATCTATTGCATGTCGGTAAGTAATGAGCTACCACTTTGGCGCTGTAATCTATTTCTACTGTTCCACTGACAGATCCGCCATGTTTTTTTATATATATAGTACCAGATCACCGCCCATCACCGTAGCAGTGATCGTTCAGCGATCACAGTTTGTTAGGGTATGTAGCAAAAATGTGGTTTCTATTTGTTTTAGAGTAAATTTTAGAAACTTTATTAAAAAGTATAGTTCTTTGAATGAAAGAAACAATTTTAAATTTTTTTTTATGATTTTTTCTTGTTTAGTAAAGTTTTTTAAATTTTGGGTTTCTTGAAATTTGTTACTTTTTATTTTTGTTTATATATGTTAATTATAATAACAAATTTTTTGTAAAATCAATTTTTATTTGTTGTTATATTTTAGATGCGGCAAGCCAGTTCTTCCGTTCCCATGAATTATGGTGTTCTTCCTCCACAGGTAAAAATTTTATAAAATTTGTTTAAAGATATATATGTGTTTTTAATTTTTATTTTTGTTTGGATATGTTAATTATAATGACAAATTTTTTTTATAAAATTAATTTTTATTTTTTGTTATATTTTAGATGCAGAAAGCCAGTTCTTCCGTTCCCAGGAATTATGGCGTTTTTCCTCCACAGGTAAAAATTTTATAAAATTTGTTTAAAGATATATATGTGTTTTTAATTTTTATTTTTGTTTGGATATGTTAATTATAATGACAAATTTTTTTTATAAAATTAATTTTTATTTTTTGTTATATTTTAGATGCAGCAAGCCAGTTCTTCCGTTCCTATGAATTATGGTGTTCCTCCTCCACAGGTAAAAATTTTATAAAATTGGTTTAAAGATATATATGTGTTTTTAATTTTTATTTTTGTTTGGATATGTTAATTATAATGACAATTTTTTTTTATAAAATTAATTTTTATTTTTTGTTAAATTTTAGATGCAGCAAGCCAGTTCTTCCGTTCCTATGAATTATGGTGTTCCTCCTCCACAGGTAAAAATTTTATAAAATTTGTTTAAAGATATATATGTGTTTTTAATTTTTATTTTTGTTTGGATATATTAATTATAATGACAAATTTTTTATAAAATTAATTTTTATTTTTTGATATATTTTAGATGCAGCAAGCCAGTTCTTCCGTTCCTATGAATTATGGTGTTCCTCCTCCACAGGTAAAAATTTTATAAAATTTGTTTAAAGATATATATGTGTTTTTAATTTTTATTTTTGTTTAGATATATTCATTATAATGACAAATTTTTTGTAAAATTAATTTTTATTTTTTGTTATATTTTAGATGCAGCAAGCCAGTTCTTCCGTTTCCAGGAATAATGACGTTTTTCCTTCAGAGCAATTCCACGCCAAGTGATCATAAGAATTTTCGATGATTTTAGCAATATTAAAAATACTTTCAGAATTTGTTCCTTTTTATACATGGAATAAAAGTGTATAAAAGTTTTTTCAAAATTTTCAAAATTTTTTGAGTTACCTCTTACTCAAAATTTTGGTCGGTTTTTCAAAAAAGGCACATAACTTTTTTTCTTGTTAACCGATTAAGATAATTTTTTTTGGAAAATACTCATAATAAGAAGTACTTTAAAGAAAAAAATAAAAATTTAAAAAAAGAATTTTTTTTGCCCGAAAAAAATTTCAAAAAATTTTTTGAATTAAAATTTTGAAAAAAATATATCTTCGATTTGAAATTTTTTTTTTGGTAAATATTGTCAATAAAGTAAAGAATACTTCCTGTAAATTTAATTATGGGACAACAATAACTTTACGAGAAAAAAAATAAAGTGTCCAGCGCGGCGTGCTGGGACTTGTGCATGTATTCACTTATGGCGGCGCAAGTTTCGTTTCAAATCACTCTACAGGTCACAATTCTTTACCAAAACGCTTTTTCTTTTTTTCTAAATCTTCGTAATTAAATTCTCTATCGATCTCTCGAGCCTTATTTTTGAATTTTTGTTTTTAAACATTTTTTAAATAACAATAAGTATTAAAATAATCAAAAAATCGTAAAATATATTTTCCTTAGTTTTATTGATTAAAAAAACTATTTAAAAAACCTATTAAAATAATGTTTGATTGATAAAAAATAAAAAATTATTTAGTTAAAAATTGTTATACAATAAAAAGTTATTATTTTGTTATAAACGGTACTTAGGGTTAAAAATTTATATTTTTTCTGAATTGTGCAATTTTTCATAAGTAAAGTATTCAAGTATAAAAGAAAAACTAAAAATTAATTATTTAACCCTTGTTTAAACAGTTTATAGTTTTCAACTTTTCAATTAATTGTTTAGAAAAAATTAGAAATTTCTAACCCAAATGAAACTTATGAAAAAATTAAAAAAATTACATAAGAAACAAATATAAATTTCTTACCCTAAGTATAAATATTTTATGTAAAAAATAGTAACTATAAACTGTTTAAACAATGTTTTAATAAATAATTGTTTTTTTATCATCAGTAGATGTATTACTCACGAAAAATTGCACAATTCAGAAAAAATATAAATTTTTAACCCTAAGTACCGTTTATAACAAAATAATAACTTTTTATTGTATAACAATTTTTAACTAAATAATTTTTTATTTTTTATCAATCAAACATTATTTTAATAGGTTTTTTAAATAGTTTTTTTAATCAATAAAACTAAGGAAAATATATTTTACGATTTTTTGATTATTTTAATACTTATTGTTATTTAAAAAATGTTTAAAAACAAAAATTCAAAAATAAGGCTCGAGAGATCGATAGAGAATTTAATTACGAAGATTTAGAAAAAAAGAAAAAGCGTTTTGGTAAAGAATTGTGACCTGTAGAGTGATTTGAAACGAAACTTGCGCCGCCATATGTGAATACATGCACAAGTCCCAGCACGCCGCGCTGGACACTTTATTTTTTTTCTCGTAAAGTTATTGTTGTCCCATAATTAAATTCACAGGAAGTATTCTTTACTTTATTGACAATATTTACCAAAAAAAAAATTTCAAATCGAAGATATATTTTTTTCAAAATTTTAATTCAAAAAATTTTTTGAAATTTTTTTCGGGCAAAAAAAATTCTTTTTTTAAATTTTTATTTTTTTCTTTAAAGTACTTCTTATTATGAGTATTTTCCAAAAAAAATTATCTTAATCGGTTAACAAGAAAAAAAGTTATGTGCCTTTTTTGAAAAACCGACCAAAATTTTGAGTAAGAGGTAACTCAAAAAATTTTGAAAATTTTGAAAAAAATTTTATACACTTTTATTCCATGTATAAAAAGGAACAAATTCTGAAAGTATTTTTAATATTGCTAAAATCATCGAAAATTCTTATGATCACTTGGCGTGGAATTGCTCTTCAACATCTAGTGTTCCCCCTCAACAGGTAAAAATTTTATAATATTTGTTTAAAGATATGTGTGTTTTTAATTTTTTTTTATTAAAAACGAATTTTTAAATAGACTGTTGTTTTTAGCAGGGACTTTCACGGAAATCGAATTTTGATTTCGTTATGATATATTATAGCAAAACGAAATTATTAATGTATTTTGATTTTGATTTGGTAACGGAACAAAAGTCCATTTCACTTTAGTTTTGTTTGCTAATATAGAAACAAAAGTCACTTTCTATTTTGATTCTGATACAGTAACGAAACAAAAGTCTACTTCAAATTACATTCGATTTTCTTGTGGAAACAGAATTTGATTCGAATTTCTACTTCTGATTTGGTATTGAATAATATTTAGATATTCATATCATAATTAAAAAGAAAATACTTTTGATTTTGATATTGGAATTAAAACTAAGCAGGGTGGAATTTTGATTTTGATATAGGAATCAGAACATAAACAATATTTATTTTTGATTCGGTAATGTAAATCGAAACTAAATAAAGACTACTTTTGATTCTGATACCCATATCCGAATCAAAACAAAAGTATTTTTTAATTTTGTTTTGATTCTGTGATTTTTAGACTTGTTTTGAAATTGATATAAAACATGTAGAACACCCATGATTGGCCTAATTACGACAGTTATAGTTGGCCTAACTTTAGTACATATTTTCATCCAAAGTTAGCTTAACGATGACTGAAAAAGTTTGCAATCATAATTGGAGCGCCTGTCGGCCTAACTATGGCTACGGTTGGCTTAGCTATAGCAGCTAAAATTTAAAATACTTCATTTTTAATAGTTATAGCATAACAAAACCAATGTACGTTCTCCTCTTAAAACGCTTACAGTTTTATATACATATGTGTTAAAATAACATAAATATGTATTTTCACATTTATTTAGTCAAAAGAATTTAGTGAACAACGCAGTCAAATTTTTTTGTGAAAAATTAAATTTAGAGATATTTCTCCAAAAAATGCACTTATTCTTTTTTATGTTCATATATTTTTATCTGGAGAGATTACAGGAAAAATTGCTTTTATCTATAAAAAAACTTAAGGTATTTGTCGTGTCAATTTTTAATTTTTGCGTTTATACTAATCGTCAGATTTAAGAAAAACTAAAGTTTTTTTATTGAACTAAAGTGAACTTTTATAAAAAAAATAAAAATTTTGTTTCGTATCGTTTATTGAAACATTTTCTGTAAATGAGAGGCAAATTTGTAAATGTGTAAATGTGTTAAGAAATACAAACATTTTGCCTGATACTTTCAGTGCAAAATTTTAAAGACGGCCATATGCCTAATTTGCGACGTTACTACAATAAACGTTTCATAAGTAGTCATCGGAGACACACTTTTGAGAGTGACTAGTTGCACGACAAATACTTTAAGATTTTAAAAAGTAAAACTGTTTTAAAAGTTTAGAAGTAACTTAAAATGTCTCATAAGTAACTTGTATAGCATTAAAAAACATTTTCATTGATCTATTCAATCTAATTTGATCAGAAATAAAAAAATTATTAGTATTTTAAACCCGAAAAATTTATTTGGTGCAAATTTTTTAAAAATATTTGTGTAATGTATAATTTTTTTTAGATACCGCAAAATGGAAATAATAATCCTGGGACAAGTGGGCAAAATTCAAATGCAAGAGATAGAGGTAGTTGTTGTTTAATTAAGGGTACATTCTAGTTTAAAACAAGGAAAAATACGGCTTTTTTAGTATATATTATTAAAATAACTGACAATTATTTGTAAAATTTCTTTTTCATATAACAAATAATTTATTTAACCCTTTAACGACGAGATGTGCTACTTTTCAACATGAAATTCAATCTCTTACAATTAGTAGAAAAAAGCCATAAAAGTTTTTAAAAGTCCATACCCTACTATTTTTGGGGTCGCTCTTTCGAATGGTGTGGTCAAAATTTTCAAAAAATGATATTTAACCCTTGTTTTTTCAAAAATACTAAAAAAAGTCAAGTTTTTTTAATGTAATTTTTTTCAAAAGAATTTTTTTCTATGTCATAACGCTTTTCAAATAGAACAAAAAGTATCAAAAACGTGTTCCCGATAGTTGTACTTGAAAAATATTAATTTCTAAATTTTATTTTTTTCGATTTTAAATTTAAAATGGCGCTTGAAGGACAAAAAATTTTTCTTATTTTACGTAAGATGACAAACTTTTTCAAAATTGCTCAAATCTGATTGAAATTTGTTACTCAGGGGTTTTCGTGGTCGCTGATTACGAATTTGAAGTCTGATTTCAAAAATTCAAAATGGCGGATCCAATATGGCAGATGACTTTTTAAAAAATTGATCGGATTCGCTTGAAACTCGTTACTCGGGGGTTTTCGGGGTCGCTGGTTACAAATCCGATGTTAGTTTTTAAAAATTCAAAATGGCGGATCTAATATGGCGGACGAAATACAAAAATTGTTCAGATTTGCTTGAATCTTGTTACTCGGGGGTTTTTGGGGTAGCTGATTACGAATTTGATATCAGATTTTCAAAATTCAAAATGGCGGATCCAATACGACAGATGACTTTTTTAAAAATTGATTGGATTCGCTTGAAATTTGTTACTCTGCGGTTTTTGGGTTCGATAATGACGAATCTGACGTTAGATTCAACAAATTCAAAGTGGCCAAAGTATAATGAAAGACTAATTTTTTTAATTTACTCAGGTTTGCTTGAAATTTGTTAGTGTGGTATTTTTAGGGTGGCTGATTACGAATATGAAGTCACATTCCAAAAATTCAAAATGGCGGAATTATTATACTCTTTTTGCTCTGACTCTACCAGTATCAACTTATCTATATTTCACAATATGTGACAGGAAAATTTAAAAGTGATCTATGGTATGAGAAAATCGATGTTAGTTTTTCAAAATTCAAAATGGCGGAACGAATATGGCAGACGAAATTAAAAAATTAGTCGGATTCACTTGAATTTTGTTACTCTAGGGTAGTCGGGTCCACTGATTGCGAATCCGATGTTCGTTTTTAAAAATTCAAAATGCTTGGTATAAAATAGCTAGAAGAATTGGTAAGG